CGGACGGGCAGGCGCGGGAGAAGTAAGAGCGGCGGCGGCGGCGGCGGGGGGAGCGGGGCGGCGGTGGCTGCGGGGCGGCTTTGTGCGGGGCGGGAGCGGGGCGCCTCCTTCTCCTCCGACCCGCCGCTCGGCTGTTGCAGGCTGGCGCTGTACGTCTACGAGTACCTGCTGCACGTCGGCGCCCAGAAGTCTGCGCAGACCTTCCTGTCCGAGGTGAGCCCCGCCGCCCCCCGCGCCCTTTGTGCGCCGCCGCACGCCCGCCCTCCATCTTGCGCGGGGCGGCGGCGGCGCCGGGGGGTCGCCGCTCGTGGGGGCCCACGCCCACCCGCGACCACCCCCCACCCGCACCGCTCCCCCTCCCGACCCACCCCCCCTCCGCCTTCCTCTCGCCCGCAGATCCGGTGGGAGAAGAACATCACGCTGGGCGAGCCCCCCGGCTTCCTGCACTCCTGGTGGTGGTAAGTGCGGGGGTGTCCCGTCGCGGGTGGGAGCAGCCCCCGGGGGCCAGGGGGGGTGCGGGGCCCCAGGGGGTGCAGCCCCGGCAGTGGCGTGAGTCAGCAGCGGCGGCGAGCCCCGAACCGCCCCGGCTCCCGCTCCCCGCGGGACGTCGAGGCGCGGCGGAGCCACCCCCGGCCCCGCGGGAGCGGCGGGCAGGGCTCCCGCTGGAGAGCTGCCGGGCCAGCCGCAGGCACCGGGCTGTGCCGGTGCCGCTGGGGCGCCCGGGGGAGCAGGGCTGGGCGGCTGCGGGGCTGGGAGAAGTCCCTCAAGTCCCACGTGGGTTATCCCTTCAAGGTGTTATCTCTTAAAGGCTACTTTTGATTCCTTAAGCACGCAGCATCCCGTGTCCCGACGGTCGGGTCTGAGCGGTGTGAAGCTGGGATGCACAGCTGGGATGCACAGCTGGATCCAGCTGAGGTCCCATCCCRGTCCTGGGCCCCGTGGGGTGGGAAGGCRCTCACCTGYACTGACCTGGGTGCCCRATCSCTGATGAGTAACTACTCCTTTTCCRTCTCTCCYCACCACGCAGCGTGTTTTGGGACCTGTACTGCGCAGCTCCCGAAAGGCGAGACACTTGTGAACATTCGAGTGAAGCCAAAGCCTTTCATGACTACGTGAGTAACAAGTTTCTAATCCTCGCGGTAATTACGGCGTTGGGGAGCTCCGGCGCACCGAGAGCCAACCTAACGTAAAGGACTGGCAAAAAGCGTGGGGTTTTTTTTAACCACCAATGTTCTGATTTGACTGAACAGTATTTCATAATGTTGCAATTATGTAAATGAGCTCAGATACTTATCTTAAGCACTTAAAGGCATTCGGGATACTGGTAGAATTAAGAAGTTTTGCATAGCAATGGACAACAAAGCGTTTGTAGAGGGTCGATGGTGAGATACTTCATGCTGAGGACACCGTTATGGTGAGATGCTTCATGCTGAGAACATCTCGCAGGGCGGGTGGGGGGTTGGATTTTGGTGGGGAGGAGAATGGGGATTCCCCAAACTGCTGGTGAATAGCCCAGTTAATATCTYCCTGCCTTTGGCAAGGCTGGGGGCTTTCTTGGTTTGCTGAGTCCTCCCTTGATCCCAGCAAGGGAGAGGTGTTGTGTTGTTGAAGCTGGRGTTGCAGACCCCTGTTGGTTGATGGTTGTGCGTCTTGGTTCTCCATGGTTTGGGTTGTTCTCTGCAGAAGTGATGGCACGAGCCAGGGATGGATGATACCTCTGGGGTGGGATGCTGGGACTGAGGCACCTCTCAAACAAACACATTTTGGCAAGGGTCATGGCATGCCYGCTCTGGTGGGTGACGGGTGGGCTGCCCACTCTTGTCCCGCACACGGTGCCCGCATCCGCAGCGTCGGGAGGAATTTGCATCAAAGGATTAGTCACCTGGCTGCGGGCTTGGACCCCAGTCAAGTGCGTTTAAACCTCGTGGCAGGAGCTGGTTTTGTCTGCTCCGGGGAGGCTATGGTATGGAAACCATTTTTCCTCCCTTCCCAAGTTTCTCGTTGTCTCGACATGCCTGGCTTGGGATGTGTGAGGGTTTGCTGGYGAGCAGCTCTGGGTGAGCATTTCGGGGACCTCCATGGTGCTCTCGTACCCTGGCAGTGGATGCAGCAGCCACCCTGGGGCACGGGCAGAGCCAGAGAGCCTTGGCTGGCTGCTGAGCTGCCTCTTGTCTCTTCCCACCCCGCTGGGTCATGGGAGAAGTGTGTCTGGGTGTTTGCTAGGTGGAGTTTGTCTGTCTGTCTGTCCTTCCATCCCCGTGGCCACTCTCTGCGTTGCTTGTTTTCTCTGGGTCGGATTAACATGGTGAACTCCTGAACCATGGGTCTAAGCTGGCAACCAGCAGCACACCTACCAGTTGTTGGCTTCTGCTTGCTTCCTGGATGTTTTGGGGCAAATTGTGGGCGTTTTGGGAGCCCAGATGGGACAGTGAGCTCATTGGAAGCAAGGCAAAGGTAGATCTTTGGGCAGCAGAGCCACAGGTGAAGATGGCATTAGCAGGCAAGACATGGTAATGCTCCATTCACAGCAGCCTCCTCATCGTGTCTGAGGATTTAGTGTATTTAGAGAAATTAATCTTTTTTTAGCTTGGTAATAATTCTAACAATAGGCCTGAGTGCATTAGATGATTCGCATAAACTTCTTTAATACACGTTGCTTTAAGCTTACAGTAAATAGACACAATCCTGATTGTTTTTAATTCTYGGTGTAATGCAGTTTTGTAACAGCCCCAAGTGCTTTACCTTTTGGGTAACTCCTAAGAAGATTTTCACTCCCCTGTGCCTTGGCCTGGTGACGCTGGGTTGGTTTCCCCAGGCATGTTTTGGCCCCAAGACAGGAGTTGTGCTTCTCTGTGGCGTGGCCAGTGGTGGATGCTCACGGTACAGTCCCTCTCTGAGGAGTGGTTTTCCCAGCACAGCGTGTACTTTACAGGGCGAGGGACCTACCTGGCCAAAACTTAAATATTGACCAAAGAACCCAACGATAACCGTGGGAGTTTGAATAGAGCCTTGTTTCTCTGCAGCTTCCGGGGCAGGCTGCCGGTACTGGTGAGCGCAGTGGGCAGTATCAGGCACCAAATCCAGCGACCCATAAATGGTACATGGCAGCTAAAATGGGATATGAGCCCTAAATGGGGCTGGATCAGTGAGTCATGAATTGCTTCATGTGGTGGTTGTGGTAAAAAATATCCCGATCTAAGTCTTAGCCCAGRTTGGTAGAGCATTGTGTCTACACTTGGCCAACGATGGGCAAACYGTGTGTGTTCTGCTTGGTGTTTGTCCAAAATACGGTGTGTGTTTACCCAGAGACTGTGCTGCTGTAAGGACAGAACGAGGGGATGCTTTGGGAACCGTTTGGGGCTTGGCATGTTACCTTCCCAGAGCCAGCCCCGAGGGGTTCTTGCCTGGGTGACCCATCTTTGGGAGGGGGGAGCAGTGCTCCTCGTTAGTGGGGTGCTAACRGAGGGATTTGCGTGCTGTGTCATTTCCACTTCACCTTCCAGCATAACTGTATGAAAACTATCAGGAGAACCAGGACAAATTGCCAATTTCCCCCTCCAGATTTGAATATTTAAGTCTTTAGTTAGAATGTAAAGTAAGGAGAAATCCCACCGCTCCTCTTAAGGGGACCCTTGAAAACYGTGGGCTCTTGTGAGCGCTTGGGAATATTGCTTTTTACTTTTCCCCTGAGGATCTTCCAACAAGCTGGGACAAAAGCCTGCTGGGATTTTGTAGAAAGGAGCTTGTTGGGGGAAGAGTGATGGGAGCGAGGATTCACCTGGCACAGGCAGGAGGAATGCTTCTCTATCCTTCCATCTCTGGCAGGGCTGAGTGTCTCTTCACACAACTATCGAGTTGTGTTGGTTGGAAGCTTGTCAGTCATCCTCTTCCACTTGTACCCAAARAGTTTATCCAAGGTAACAACCCCACGAGCACCCACCAACTCCAAAAACAACATGTGGCCATGGGTTTAGGCTCCCCCAAGCCCCACGGCGAGCATGCCAGCGCTCCGGCACGCTCCTGGAGCCGGCGAGCTTGCAATGGGATCGCTCGTCATGACAGGGGATTTCAGCCGCCGCCTTATCTGGGAATTGGCCGATGGCTGGTCGCAGTTGAGCATTTCAACGCCGTGAAAGCCAATACAATTTGAGTTAGCGGTGATGACTGCCAGTTTAAATACCGCAGTGAATTTCTGTCAAAGAGCTAATACACAGAAAGGGGAATTGCAGAAAACTTGATCACCAGAACCACTTCAGTCGATTTTGGCCTCGAGCTACAGAAAATGAACTTAAATCTAGTTGACTGTTGCTACATACTTTTTTTGTGGTGTTGCTCTGCYTGCACAGCCAGCTCATGTCAACATGCAGGAGAAAAAACTTGRGGTAGTCTTCAGCTGATGAAGACTTTGACTTCATCATTCCCTTCCCCTGTTCCCCCCAGTTTCCTCTTTCGAAGGACCTGCTCTTGGGAGCATTTGAAATGCTGTTTCCTTTGCAGCASAAGATCTGCAGAACTGTGGCTTCAACTTGCCATTAACGCAAAGCATTGATTTATTTGTTTTTAACTTCGGAAAGCTGCTGCAGTTCTTTGTAACTTGGGTCTGCAAGGATTCTCTGCAGCAGCAGGGCTGGTTTTGYTGCTGGAAATGTGGTGGTTGGTCTGGGAAGAGATGGTGTCTTTGGGGCTCCTGTCCTCCCATCTTGGTTGGGGACAACCAAGGCTCTTCCTTTTTCCCTTAGACTGAGGTCTCAGGGATTTCTGAAGCTCATGGGAAGGGATGRATGGGTGAATGGAGTGAGTATTCAGGCTTGCAGCAGTTGATGTGCACAGCTGCTCACTGGGAACAGTTTTGGTGAAGCCCAGGAGTCTAGAAGGGCTGTGGCTTGCTGGCAGATTGGACTGGGGGATGTCCTAGAGATGGTTCTTTTCTGCTGGATCTGCCCATTGCACCCCATCCACGTGTGGGGTAGGCACCCAACATCACTGCCTGGGTGTTCTTGGGCTGCAGGGGAGCATTTCCTTTTGCACCTTCTGCTCCCCAAGGTCTGTATGGCCACCTCATGACCACTGAGATGGCTTTATGGGTCCCACGGGAAGGGTTTGATGTGGCTGTCTCCTCTCCCATGCCATGCTCTCTTCCCTTTCCACGATTGGTGAAGGTTTAAGACCTTGCATGAGGCAGCCATGGCTGTGAGGGTGGGACCAGCAGGTGTGAGAATGTTGATCCATGAGTAGATGATCCACCAGAGCTTCTCCTGTTGTGTGCAGCCAGTGTATTGAAAACGTGTTGTATGGGAGAGGAGATGTTTTTGGGGCAGGTTTAGCACAGCRCAGGGTCTGGGGTTGGGAACAGCTTTGTGTGGTCCCTGTGAGCCCCCACAGGCATTGCCTGAGCCCTGGGCACRGGGCTCAGCCCTGTTTCCACTCAGGACTGCGCTCCGTCTGGGCTCCATCCAGCTCYGCTCTGCAGGGACAGGGTTCCCTGGTAGGTAACCGGAGAGAGGAGTTTCCTTCAGGAGTGGCAGCCTGCCAGGAGCAGCTGCAGAACTCCACATCACTTTAAAAAAAATTGCAGCAAAAATAAATAAATCCAGATATTCCCTCTCCTGGCAGCTCTAGGCTCGGCCTTCCCTCCCAGTTCAGGGTACTGGYGAGCCTGGGTGTGCTTTTAAAGCCTGCTCTTGCTGGAGTGCCWTGCAAAGATGGATTCGTTTATTATTATATTTTAAACAACATTGGCTGTCACGATGGAGCAACCTCTGCTGCCACACTTCCTGCTGCCCAGCAGCAGGWCCAGGGCATTTCAGAGCAGCACCTTTCCACGGGTGATGCCCGTGGAGAAGGCTCCATTGTGAAACCGGAGGTCAGAGCCCAGAGCTTATGTCTTAGTCTTTGACTGGGGAGCCTAAATATTTATCCTGTTCTGTCCCTAATGAAAACAAATTGTCAACAGTTGTTCAGTAACTGACTAAATTAAAATCTGTAATTAGTCAATTAGATTAAAGAGTTGGCACAACCTGATTGTATCATGCTGGTTAGGTTATTAAGAGAAAGGGTGTGATTTTTAATTACTGAATGCTAATTTTGACGGTTTCAAATAGAAACAGACGTT